ATACTACTGTATTTTCCCATCACAAAAACTATCAACGTGAACCATTCAGTCAGTGATACTGGGGACAAAACAAACAACATATGCAGCAAGCTCAGAAGGGCGAGGTATTTACCTCTATATTTAATTTTTCTTTTTGTCTTAAGGAATACAAATATATGTGCGTTATTTGCTCTTAAACACAGGTCTTCAGCTCTACACGAAGTAATTTTGTTTTATTTCTGCCAACATTTCCATGCACAGACATGAGAAAGAAGACCTTGGGGTTTTTTTCTTCTTTTCTTCCCCAAGCCTTTTTTACAATTAAAAACACGACCTTCAGAATATTCAGTATAGAAATGGATTGGGTTGGATTTCGGCACAAAGATGCGGTGCACAAGGTTGCACACAGAAAAGCAAATAATCACAGAACTTTTGTCAAGGGAACATTTTTGCAATTTTTCTCCTGGCATCTCTGATGAAAAATCTAAAAATTTGGAGGAAGCATCCTGTATTGAGGTCTTACTGTAATTTCCATGCTTTAATAGACACCTCTAAGAAATGTGAACTTACGAGAGCTGATGACATCCATTTTTTTCATTATAATAAAGGTTCAAAATTTCAAAGACCTGCCACATCCATTCAAGAAACACCAATTAGCTCCTGAAATATTCAAATGTTATTGTTTTTTAATGACAATGTAACTTCATAGAATTAGGCATGAAGCTAAGAGTTAATAAATAACAAAAAAAAAAACCTCTTTTGTTATTTATTAACTGACTTAACAGTATGAGTAATTTGAAAGTACAATATCCTGGACTTTTCAATCAGTAATGTTTCCTAAAGTCATAGGATGTTTGGGGTCTTAAAACCATCAGACGAGTGATAATGCTCATGCCCATGTGGTGCTACCATAACTGCGACTATTCTCTGGACCCATGGTTTAAACAAATTCTGGCCTCAGTGATATCCAGCATGTAGTAGGTTCTGAGCAGCAGAGGCCTTAAACCTCCTCTAATAAGTCTGAGTTCTCTGCTGGGATGGATAGTGTGTCTCTCAGGCTGCAAACACTTTTCCTTCACTGGTTTGTGGTTTGAAACTGGCTGTAGGTGTGAATGTGAGCCTGAATGGTTGTCTATCTATTGGGTTAGCCTTGTGATAGACTGGTGGCCCATTGGGGCCTTTTCATCCACTGCCAGGTAGGATAATTTTTAGCGCCCTGGAAAAGTGGTTAGGATGGATGGATGGATGGATGGATGGATGGATGGATGGATGGATGGATGGATGGATGGATGGATGGATGGATGGATGGATGGATGGATGGATCATAAAGGGGTCTTTATTCACTAGACTCTTAAGAGTAAAATGGTGCATCCAAAACTCACTTTTTTAACGTAAGTCTCAACGACAAGGCAAGAGGATCAGAATGAGGTTGTTAGAGTAGTCAAGCATAATCCCTGAACCATAGTAGCACTCACTGTCTCTTTACCTTTATTTGAGTAAGGACATGTAGGTATTTACGAGATCCAGTCAGACCACCATTGTCCCATTTTCCTTCTTTTTGGAGAGTGGTATGAATGTAAAGGTGTCAGGACGGTGCTCAATTGGGCCCCTAACAACAATAAAAACAAATATCTTCCCCTTAACACTGAGTACTGCGCTCACTTTACAATCTAAGGTATAATGCAATCTAGATAACAGGAAGTGATGTGAGCAACACAAGGCAATGTGAAGCAAATGAAATTTGATGTTTCTATTTTTCAACTTTGTATCATTCAAGACACTGGAACAGTGAATGCCTGCAGTTGTTGAACTAGAAAAATGAAATATTTGCAGCATGTGCAGCACTGTCATTGTTATAAAATGTAAGCCTTACAGGTGTGGACTTTTGCTACCAGAGGTTGCAACAAAGCAGAGAACCGTCATTAACGAGCTTCATTAGAATAGATAGAATAGAATAATCATTTAATTGTCCCACAGGGGGGAATTTGGTTTTACAGACAATTACAGACAAGAAGAAATTATATATCATAATATATCACACTGACTAATAATCTAATCCTCCTCGTGTGTGTTTTTAATACCAACATGATATCTAGCTGTAGACAAGTGGAGGAAAGAAAATGCAGCAGATATTCACTTTGCCCTTCCGTTGTGACCACTAACAGCTACCGTGTATGGTCTTTTGTTGAGTTTGATTTCCAGAATTTATTCCTGCTCCACAGCTAAACATGCATACAATAACACATAACATAATTCCCAATATGCATTTTGTATTTAAGTTTTTATTAAATGCTTTGTATGTTTTCATTGAAAAAGATAAACCACGGATGCACAGGTGAGTAATTCAATGAAATAAATGGACCCTCTTTATAAGTTTGTACAACAGATCCTCAGCTTGTGTTTTGTCACTTAAACCTAAATCATATCACAGCTGTACTTACTGGACTTTTATGGATATTTCTCTTACTATTTAGTTAATTTCTTGGTGTAATAGTAGGATTTTGACTCTGCAGGTAACTCAATTATGTTTTGGGGGGATTTTTTTGGATTTTCTCAGGCGTCACACTCTACAATACGTGAGATGCACTGCCTGAAAGCTTCATGGCCTGCCATGCCTGCTTGTGTCTAATAAAAAAAGAAGACATAGCAGTTCTGATCTTTCCCATAAAACTGCTCCTGTCAGATGTCATTCAGGTCAGGACCACAACTGTCTTAATCATAAGCAGAATTTTTAATAGCGCACACTGATCTGACCTCCAGTTTGGTTTTCGCGCTACTGATTTCTGCAGAGAAGTATTTCTGGTATCCTGGTATCCACCCTCATCTCATTTTCCATTTGGATACTTTCACTGGTCTACGTGACTCTGGATCATGTCTTCTTGACCAAACCAGATTCTAGTTGTCACCGTCCTCTGTTATCTGCCTTGCAGGCTTATTTGTAGCCAGATAGAAAGTCTTTGACAGAAGTGAAGCCATAGGGGGTCATAGGTTTGGTGGTGGCAGCAGACACAATTCTGTTCTTTGCCTACCATTTCACAATCTTCTACTACTCTCACAAAGGGGACATGCCTCAGAATCAATAGGCTATGTGAATGATTCCTCTGGTGGTCTGACCTGCACTCCACTCAATCTAGTGAGCAGTGCTTGGTTTCTTCCACACACGAGGCTGGTGTAACTAAGGTCCTTCTACCCCAGTTGCTCAGATTGGCCAGGCAGCCAGCTCTATGAAGAGTCTTGGTGGTTCCCAACTTCTTCCATTTACAGATGATAGAGGCCACAGTGCTCACTGGGACCTCCTGCTGCAGATCTACCCTTCCCCAAATCTTTGCCTCAATACAATCCTGTCTTGAAGATCCACAGACAATTCTTTGGATGTCATGGTTCAGATTGAGCTCTGACGTGCACTGTCAACTGTAGGACCTTATATAGATGTGTCCAATCAACTGAGTTTACCACAGGTAGACTAAACTGACAGATGATCAGTGGAAACAGGATGTACCTGAACTCAATTTTGAGTGTTTGTTTGTTTCTGTTTTGTTTTGTTTTTGTTTTAAATACATTTGCAAGAATGTCAAGCCAGTTACTTTCACTTTCTTACTATGGAGTATTGTGTGTAGAGTTTTGAGTTGGATTTTCTTGCAATCCTTTAAAATATGCGTACTGACCACTTTGGTAGTTAATGTCTTCCTTCTCTCACCCCAACCGGTCGCAGCAGATGGCCGCCCCTCCCTGAGCCTGGTTCTGCCGGAGGTTTCTTCCTGTTAAAAGGGAGTTTTTCCTTCCCACTGTCGCCAAAGTGCTTGCTCATAGGGGGTCATATGATTGTTGGGTTTTTCTCTGTATCTATGAAGCGCCTTGAGGTGATTTTTGTTGTGATTTGGCGCTATACAAATAAAATTGAATTGAATTGAATTGTTATGATTAAAAAGATATTGTAAACTGTTCAGTATCTAATTACGTAGCACTGGTATTCCTTTTTTAACATGTCTTTGAGAGACACCTAGTGGCTTTATTGCTGTAGCACACAAACCACCGCACCTGTCTGCTTATAGGGAGACATTCTTATGAGTTAAGATAAGACAATAATCAATATCATGACAGTAATACAAATAAAAAATGAGGCTGCTGGCACAACTACATCATTAGCTGACAAAATAAGTGTTGTAATGCACAAAGAAACTCACAGCAGAAGCTTTTTACACTGTTTAACATTAATATAAGCGGTGCATGAACAGACCGGGGAATCATTCATATTTTCTCATAGGGGTCACCAAAGAAAGATAAATTGCCTGTAAATACTCTGGAGGAGACTAGAATTTTTCTTTATATCATCACTTACTTCTACTGATTTTCACATTATTGTCTCCAAAATGAACGAAATATAATGATAGAGTGGCTCAAGTGGGCTGCTCACTTTTTCTTTTTTTTGATAATTCAATACAACATCAGTCTGTGGACTACATCTACAGAGATATCTAACCTTAAAAAAGAAAAAAAAAAAAGAAATCACTATCCTCCTAATACCCGAACTCTTCCACGGCATGCATTTTTAATTTCTCTTTGATATTTGGGCTGATTGGGACCCGATGATTGTAAAAACAAAGAATTACCTGATTTTTTTTTTTAACCTGATTTTAGTTTCTAAGAAAAATGAAAGCCACATATGAGGATATTCGTTTGAAATTTCGATAGAACAGTAACAGTATAATGTCCTCGTAAGTGGATATCAGGCCCCTGTAGAGCAAAATTGAGTATTTTGGTCTAAATAACCCAAAATGTGATGTCCACATATGTGGACGCCAGGTCCTAGGAGGTTAATAATATGACTCAGTAGTGGTTGTTATTTTTATCAATGGGAACCTCTGTCACCCGCGCAAATCTTAAATCCTACATGGATTCATGTCTGCATCAGAGGTGTGCGCGCTCCCGGGCCTGCACTCTTATGTGACATGCACACTGAGAGCCAATGTGGAGGTAACCGTGGTCACAGTTTCCCTAAGGACCGTCTGGCGGCGAGGGCCATTAATTATAAGAGACAGGGAGACAGACACCGAGCCAGCTTAGCAGACAGACAGACAGTACCGCAGCTAGCGCAGACAGGCCGGACAGGAGCAGGCCCCGACAAATACAAAGAGGGGAGGAAGAGCGACACGTAATCTACGGCCAAGGGGGGGAAAACATAATCCTCCCCTTGTAGCGAGCAGGCTACGGCTATCTGCACCGGTCCTGCTTTCGCTCCTGACCCTGGACTCTGGGTGAACACACTCAGGCATAATAACCCTTTTGTCATAAGAGAAAGAACGCGGTTTTCTACGGAGATAAATAATTGAAAAAAATGCGGCTGTGTGACTGCGCATCCCTGGCAGTGAATAGGAAAATGCTGCGCCAGTGTCCCGGCTGAGAGACGGAGCCGATCTTTCCCAACACAAGCTCCCCGGCTTCCCCACTCTCTCTCTCTCTCCCTCTCTCTCTCCTGTCATTACACAATATCGCTGCCAAAAATTCATCGTTTCGAACATGGTAAGTTTTCTTTGTGTTATATTTAACGGGCTTGTGTCGGCGACGCGCGGCCTGTGGGGGAAATGCACATCCGGGACTGCATTTTTTTCCGGAGAAGTCATAATATTTATGAATCATAACTTGTTATGATGTAGGAACGCGCGTGGCGTGCAACAGGTCGCCGTACAGTAGCGGGGACGCGCATCTCAGGGCCAGATTTTGAGCTTGGTTTCCAAACACTGGTGCTCACATACACACACGGGCGCGCGTTCAGCCTTTGTATACGCGATCAAACTGGCGAGATGGCACGAAAATCATACTAATATTAAGAAGAATAAGAAGGCCTTGTTGGAATGATGGAGACCAGGTTAAAAGGGATGATATTATCCGCTTCGACTGTTTGTCTGCTATTAGAGTAATGGCTTCATTCTCTTTTACAAGACACCAGCGATTACACAATGACACGTAGGTTATTAGCCAAATGATTTCCTTTTTAATCCCTACAATATTCCGAAATTACTGCCTGGTTTGGACAGAAAGCCTTTTCCCCAATATAATCTTGCTGTTAAGAACGTCAGATTAGTGGATGGTTATTACCCGTATTAATTACTGATTTAGAATTTTGGCTCCATTATTATTCTGCCCAAGCCCCAGTAAGAGAGGGAAGAAGGTGGATGCTCTTTGGGTGGGGGACTGTCACGGGGCCCAAGTGGAAAATGTATTTTTCTCCTCACCATGGCTGTGTTTTTTTCCAACTCCACGTGCTAAGCAGCCGTGATGAGGTTTGAAAAGGGAGCATTGTGTCTCCAGTCAGTGGCCTTATGTGTTGGAGAGGCTCGGAGAGGGTGATGTTCACTCAGCTGAGCTCCCTCGACGTCATTGTTGCAAATTTCACCTGATTTCAGGCGCTCTGTTTCACCGAGCTCACGCAGGAGGCTGTTTGTGGAGGTGTCGGGAGGGGGGAACACAGCCCACGCACACTTTGAAGTGTCGGTGTTCGACAACACGCCCCGTGACAGGATGCGTTTGATTTATAGTCTCGGGAAACAAGGTTTTAGCGGATACGGATTTCTTCCTTCCTTGCGCACTATTAGCTTTTACGTTTTAACAATCGACTGCTCGGGGAGGACTCATAATGTGATGAACTTGTGCGTAAATGCGTAAGGGTTTACCGAACAGAAGCAGTGGACTCTCGGCTCAAAAGATGGGGTGTTCACTCGCCATTTGAATGCAAAGTAGTGGATGAACAAGTGAGCTGTGTGTATGCGTGTGTGCGAGTGTGTGTGTGTCCAGAGAAGGAGGGCCAACGCCGTGTTTTCAGAATAGAAAGACTTGTTGAGAGAAACTGTCACACATGCCTCTTTGGTTCTTGTATTCCCCCCCTCTTCTCCACAATGCCACCAACGTGGAGCCACTTTATTAAGTCTAATCGAACCGGATCACCCGGTGTCAGATTTTTGGAAACCATACTGTAGTTTGTCTTTATTTATTTAATTCTTTTTTCTTTCATTTTTTTTGTCTAAGTAATTTAGTTACCTGCTTTTTTCAGTGCGCAGGGAGACAGAGTAAAAGTTGTGTGTTGGCCAATGCGCCCCTGCGTCGGTCCCATCCTGTTGAAGCATGTCCCGTCGGAAACAGAAACGACCCCAGCAGCTTATGAGCCTGACCCTGGGTGCCTGTCGGAAACTTGAGCATGGTGAGACATAGACTATATAAATCAATAGAACAATGATCAATAATAAGTAAGACGATATTCACATTGGATGCCGTAGTATAGGAGACTTAGCCTTTTCTTAGTATGCGCTTTGTGCCTTTTACACAAGTACATTAAAATGTAGTGCTTATTTAGGATGTACATTTACAGTTTAAATTAAAATGACTATTAGCTCCTTTGGGACTTCAAATATGTTTTTACTGTTTATATTTTAAGCTTTGTTGACTGAGATGTAATCATTTACTCTTAATCAGCCTTGTATTAATTCAATTTAAGTGTTTCAATTGAGTTCATTTGCGCTAAAAGTTTAACCAAAGTTAAATGTGCATGTTATAGCATTGTGCTAAGAAAATGGCTTGCTGGAATAATTTGAGTGCAGACGCTTTAATTCCTTCTGTGCAGGTTTAAGCCTTAAGCTGCTTCCTTGGCCCTATTAAACCCAAGTATCTTCACTCCTCTCACACTGCCAGTTTCAAAGACACAGACCACCCACATTTCAGAAAAACACAATAAATCAAAAGCAGTATCACTGAAAAACAATGCAAGGTGAATCTGAAGGCGTGTGCTATGAAAAGGGTTAGGGTTTGAAGCAAAGACGTGAGCACGAGAAGGTCAAGGAAAAAGAAACTTTGTGGGGCACTGTATAAGGTGTTCTAACTGCAACAGCCCATTGTCCCCATTCAGCTTTGTTGCTAGCCACTGAAGCATGAACATGCCCACAAAGACGTGTGTGTGAAGGCGTGCGCGCGTGTGTGTGTGTGTACACACAGTTGTGTGTATTTGTGTCCGCTTGTCCACTTCAGTTACAGGAATAGGGACCCCATTGTGTCACAAAATTGTAGCTGTTGAGCTAACAGCAGGAAGTTCTGTATGCATTTGGGTGCACGTGAGTATACAAAGTGTTACGGAGTTTGCTTGCAGAACATATTTGCTGAGTCGTCATGTCTGTCATGGCCTTTTTGTTTTGCTTGCACGACAAACTCTTCCTCTGGCTGGCCTATCAGGAATGGGACCCCCAACTGTTTAAAGTCAGTTTTACTAGCCAGTCAGATACCCTGCAAAGTGTTCAGTACTTGACTAAGAACTAACTCTTGACACCCCTACTGGGCCAGTGGGGGATGGGCTCTTCAGTAAGACAGACTGAATGGAGGAAGAAAGAAAGAAAGAAAGAAAGAAAGAA